TGCAACTTTCCCAGTGAGCACAGGGCCCCACACTTCAGGACTTATATTTCTGAGCTACTGAGACTCCTCAGAAGGTGAACAAATGACCACTCCACCTGAATTTAATCAACAGCTGTATTTCACCAGAGTTTCAGCTTGCTACTTTTCCATACAAATGCCATTAATTCCTCTGACTTCCTGTTTATCAACTATTCATTAATCTCTTAGGTCATTCACGCCCAACACTTATTGAATGAATATATGTTTTTACGTTTGCCTTTTCAAAATTCACAAACCACCTACGTGCCATTCAATCCTGCTCATTTAATACTGATGGCAGCACAAGGTGCCATTGTTCCAGTCTTTGGTGGGTAAGAGACTGACTCACAGCCACATAACAAGAAGTGTAAGATCTCAAACTCTGCTCAGGTCTGGCTCCAACTAGCAGTTCCTGTCATCAATTCCCCCCCACCCCCATGCCCCCATCTCATCTTCTCCAAACCCAGCCAGTATTCCAACAATTGTTGGGGCAAGAGTCTATGAAATGGAAAAACTATGTCACCAACAAAACAAGAAGGAGATTTTTATAGTGAAAAGTACAGCGCTGGTAACATTGCCTTCTCCAAGTTTCCAGGGCTGAGGTTGCTCATACAAGCATCCCAGCTGCACAATTAAGAAGCTTCCCCTTCCACCGCAGCAGCCACTGAGGAGCAGCTCTGCGCCACCCCATGCCTGTGGGCCTCAACAAAGGCCACAAGGCGACCAAGAACGCGAGAAAACCAAGGCACAGCTATCGCCACGGGCGCCTCACCAAGTGTACACAGTTCGTGCAGGACATGATGTGAGAGGTGTGTGGCTTTGCCCCATACGAGTGCCACGCCATGGAGCTGCTCAAGGTCTCCAAAGACAAACGAGCCCTCAAGTTCATCAAGAAAAGGGTGGGGACACACATCCGCACCAAGAGGAAGCGAGAGGAGCAAAGCAATGTCCTGGCCACCATGAGGAAAGTGGCTGTCAAGGCTCCCCTCTGTGTAGAATTAAA